AGAAACGAGGCATGAGAGCATCACAACCCAACCAAACCACATACCGAGCAAGTTTTGAGCCACAAATATGCATGCCACTCGGGCGATGATCGATCTGGTATCTTTCGTCTCCCTACGTCTCTACTTCCACCAACTCGAAACTCTCGCAACCCATCAAATAAGAACTAAACATACAAACATTACGCCAATTTATGCAATACCCCATCCTTCCATCCCCATATCATGCAATCGCCCTTCAAATCTTTTGCTTTAGCCCACGTTCTCCACGCTAAACCACAACCGCATCCTCCTCCTCCTCATCATCAAACTCCTCATTCACCTCCTCAGGAATAAGCACATTCTCCGGCCTATCATCATCCTCATCCTCATCCTTGCCCCCACCATTTGCCTCCCCCATCGTAACCTCCCTCGTGGGCATAACACCCCCATTCGCCTTCATAGCCTCGACCTTCGCCTTGGTCATCTCATACACATACTTGCCCAAATGTTCTACATCCTGCATCTCGGCTTCGCCCTCTACAGGCGCAGTTTGCTCGGCAGGACGTTGTGTTTCGCCGAACATTTCGTCGGTGACGAGCGTGAGCTTGTCGGGGCGTTGGAGGAGGATGTCGAAAGCGGGTTTGAGCTCGAAGACGGATTCGAAGACGGAGCGGCGGCCGAGGATGTACAGACCCAGGCGGGCGCGCGAGAGGGCGACAGTTAGGCGGCGGATGTCGCGGAGGTAGCCGATTGCGCGGGTGCGGACTAGGGAGAGGATGATGTCTGGGCATGATGTGTTAGTACACATCGAGGTTAGGGAAGGGGTGGGTGGTACTTACAGTCATTCTGCTCACCCTGGTACTTGTCCACCGTCGCGACAATCTTTGGGCGACCGAATAGCGGGTTGTTCTTGCACTTGTGGCCCAACACGTCGTTGATCAGACTCTTCTGTCCGGCATACGTCGTCAAGATGGAGATCTTGCTCGCTGGATAACCCAGGAGACGCATGTACATGAAGAGCGCGACTGCGTACTCGGCTTCGCCCAGATTAATCATCCAGTGCGGTGTGGGTTGGTCTTCGCCCTTGCCCTTGTAGTCCTGGACGTCGATGAACTGGTACTCGTGCTTGAAGCCTGGGTTGGCGACCTGGAACTCGGGTTTGGACAGGACGGAGGGCAGATTCGATAGGGAGGGGTAGCGCCACTTGTAGAGTTCGGCGATGGACGGGCGAGCACGACCTTGCTGGTCGAGCATGATTGTCGGCACACCGAGACGGACGAGGCGTTGGAAGAGGGATTGCTCCAGATTGGCGTACTGGCGGAAAGCGAGGTTTTGGATGACGGGCGAGTTTTGGAGATGGTCACCGCAGAGGACGATGCGCTGTAGAGGAAGTTCGCCATCCTTGGGGTTTTGCAGTGCGAGAGGAATGAAGTTTTCGATCTCGGTGATCTGGGCGGCTTCTTCCATGATGACATTGTCGTAGTGGAAGCCTAACGAAGCAATCTCTTGTCTTCGCATGGCAGCGTGCGTCGATGTCATGGCAATGATACGGGCTTCCTTGATCAGCAGGTAGTTCGCCTTATCCCGCGGGTTCCGCAGGATCTCAAACGGACGGATGTCCTCAAGCTCAGCGAAGATCTTCTCGACATGGCGATAGCAGCCTTGTGCAATTTCAAGAATTTGTTCTCGGTCTGCTGCTTGAGGGAAGAGAGGCTGTGGTGCGTTTGAGAAGTAGTCTCTGAATGGGAACTCAGTGATTATCTGGTCAACACTTGTGTCCTCGGTAGTAACACTATCCCAGTATTGCGTCCATGCTGGCTTCACATATACAAGGTTGAAGTAATCTGCAGTCTCGCACGAGCTACCATGGGCACCGGGCGCATTGAAGTTCTTCGCCAGGCGATCAACTTCAGATAGATAGTACTGCCCTCTCTCGAGGAACGACTCTACACGTCCATGCTTGCTGTAGCTGACATCCGTCTCGAGGTCCTCTTCACCATGACCCAGACGCAGAAGATGACGCTCATCGATGTCAAGCGCAGTAATCTTTTGGAAGAGCTGGTTAAGCGCTTGATTACTGTGCGCGACGAGCAAAGTCCGCTGGTCCGGGAAGTTGTGGTATATATTGGATATAATTTGGGTCGCGACGTCCGTCTTGCCGGTACCCGGGGGTCCGAGCACCACGGTGAGACCAGGTTGTGTGCCCGAGGTGATAGCTTCAATTTGGGCAGGTGTAAATCTGACCGCATTCAGCCTCGGCGCATCTGCAGGGTATGGTCCCATGTTCGGCGGTTTGTACGAGGATACGTGAAGCGATTCATGCAGAGGTTGTGCAACCACTTTCTGGTCGCGACGCCGCTTTTTGGATGCTCGAGGAGGTGCGATGTTTGGTTCACCTGCAACAGGGTATTCCACAACGTATGGAGGCCCAAAGGATGTCTGTGCTTCCTCGTGGGGTTCGATAGACTTGCCAGGCATTGCCTCGATCAGGTGCTGCCAGTCCAAGAAGGTATCCCGGAAATCTATCTTGTTCAGTTTGTTAGGAAGTCGCTTGTACGTTGCTGATGCGGGATCACCATATCCTAGGAAGACTTCTTGGAGCCAAGATGGTGCTGGGATGTCTGAGAGGGTCAGGCGCTTGATGGATTCTAGAATGGGCAGGAAGTTGTTTTCCCGTCCTCTCCGACGGACAATCATGTTGATGTGCTCGTAAACGTCTGGCCTTCCTTCGGCAGTTTGGTCCATGTCGGCCTGGTACTGCTTCGCGTCGATGTTGACAAGGAGTCGTCGTTGACGCACCCGGGGTCCAAAGCCGTCGTCGCGGCCTTGTTCGCGCAGAGGGCGGCCTTTGTCGTCCAGGACTTGAACCACTTGGGCGCATCTCATTCGGTGCAAGCCAAGCTGTTCTCCAGTTATGACATCTTCGCGGTGACCATTGCGCATGGGTACGTCGTCTTTGCCCTCAACAGCAAGGAGGAAGACGACGTCATCCGGTCTTAGTTGTTCCCAATCCCTTCGTACTGGGTGTTGCAGGCGACTGACGTCCAATATGATCTCGGCACGAACGTATGCTGGGTGCTGCTCGCCTACCTTGGAAGGTGCTACGTCGACGATAGCAGGCTTCATGATAGGGAGTGACATCTTGGAAACGCCACCGAACTTGGTGTTGACGCCTTTACCCTTGGGCTTCACGCGCTTGACCACGTCCTCCATGTCCTTTCGGATACCGTAGAAGGATTCGGCGCGGTACAGGATGAAGGATCTCCACAAGAAGTCGCCCATGGTCAGGTACTGAAGGTTCAGCTTGGGTATAGCGAGTGGTCTTGATCCGTCGTACGACTCGTTTCGCAGGAAAGTGGTCTCGTAGAGAACCTTCTCTGTTGGTAATACGGGCATCTCGCGGACATTGTCTTTGAAGGTCGGTCGCTTTTCTACAAGCGCAATCAGGGTCTCCATGTAGAAAGCTCGGTCGCGCACCAGGTAGGTCGTGGCGGGGTACTCTGTTCGTAGGCCCATGAGAGAGCAAAGCTCAACGAGCTCAGTGTCGCTCAGTGTGCGCAAATGGCCATCCAGCTCTTCCCGGTTCCCGATGCTACTGTAGTTCGCCAGTGCCATCAACTGAAGCTTCTCCTGGAAAGCAGCATAGCCCGTCCGTTGCAGCTTCGCCAGAGTATCGTAATGCTGTTGGTCGTACTCCAGCTTGGACAACTGACGGCCTGTCTGATCCTCGATGGGGAAGTTGGTGAAGTGGCTCAGCAAGTCGAAAAGGTCCCGGAAAAGGCCGTTATCCTCGTCCGTGTACATGGGGGACAACCGAATGGCCGGGAGCATGTTCAAGTCTTGTAGTAGCGTGTTGACATATCTCCTTGTTGGCAGCTGGCTCTGTAGGTCTACCAGAAGCTCCATGAAGCGCTCGCAGTAGGCCATGTTGTCCCTAACCTCTTCCCTGCTGGTGCTGTTGTACAGTCTGTCGATAAAGTCCAGCAGCAGTGTGTAGATCCACGATCGCTCGAAACGTAACCGAGCCTGTAGTGCTTCGTCGCCGGCATCGAACCGCTTGGATGCGGCTCTCCATGCCTTGCGCAACATGCTGTGTTCCTCGAAGTACTGCTCGCGCACGGAGTCCGAGTGGAGGTTCTGCCATATCGATATGCCGACCAGAGGCGCGCACTCCTTCCGCACAAGGCCGCTGTCTAGTGATTGGAAGGCGCCGATGACGAAGGACACGAGCTGTGTGCGGATCTTGCTCGGCTGCGAGGGGTCTACGGTCATGGACAGTATGCGGCGGAAGAAGGAGGAGAATTCGGCGGGCTTGCTAGCAAAGTGGTCTATTTAACGTCAGTATGTATCGTCCATACTAAGAGTTGCAGCAACTCACCCCATGATGCCAGGTTCTCCCTCCTCTTAACATTGACCATAAGCGCCAACAGCAGATGGTGGTAGTTCGATGCATCTTCGGTAAAGCCAGGCCACAGATATCTCTCCAGAAGCTGTAGGTTCTCCAGAATCAGAAGCGACGAGTATGCGAAGTCGACATTCTCCAGCTGGTCCCATAGCTCTTTCTTGACCACTTCGGGTCGCACTTTTGGTGACTTCTTGGCATTGAGCCAGTTCTTCCTCGCTACCTGCGCGAAATGGTTCTCTCCGTGCAAATCGGCGACAGTCGGGCGGGCGTGTGCGTTGGACGAGTCGGTCGCATGCGCAGCGGACGCGCCGTCGAGGCCATTTGACATCGACAAGCCCGTGGGCTTGACGTCCTCCATGTCGTCCACTTTCATAGCCATGATCGCAATCGGTGTTGTTGTTGGGCGCACGTGAAGGGGCCGGCGCGCATTGTTGGCGCACGAAGTTGCTCGATGGGTGATGGGGTGTGACGCGCCAAGGAAATAAAAGTAGAGAGAATGGCGTCGCGGGAGCTCTGAGCCACTAGGCCAGAGCCCGCATGCGGCACTTGCCGCTCGTGTGAACCTCACTTCGCGATCCCGCCCAGATATCTCCGCAGTAGAGTCCCCAACACCACCATGTCTGCTCAGGACGCCTATGTCAGGCACCAGGCCGTTGTGCCAGACAAGATCCCCACTGGAGAGTACCCTGTGAGTCAATTGCAGCGCGAAAAGATGCGCAATGGGTGGTGGTAGCTAATGCATGGCAGCTCATCGACAATGACCCGTACGCTCCTCTACGATACCCAACGCATGCGAGTACTGACTGCAGATGAAGACACTTCAAGCGAGTCATTCGGTATGCCCGTCCGTCCGACTGGGCGCAAGGTGCCGCGCTCGGAGCCTTGAGCCCCGGATTGATGATGTACTGGGAGAAGATCTCGCCCTCCATGGTCGGCAAGGGCGGTTTCGCCCCCATCATGCGACTGAGCGGTGCTGTCGGTCTTACCGGAGCCTTCGTTTTCGTCTACTCGAGGTCATGCAGTATGTGGAGCCAGTCCGGATATAGAGAAGATCGGATTGGATGCTAACATCCACGACAGTGCGCTTCTACGGTGCCCGCGAGAACCGCCGCGAGGTCGAGATGGACATGCGCGAGATGGTCGACAAGGTCAAGAAGGGCGAGTCGCTGTACGGAACCACCGAGATGACCGAGTACATGCAGGGAGTTGCGCACAGGAACTCGCGTTACTCCTCCACATTTTCGCACATCCTCGCATGGCCAAACTTTGTCAATCACCCTTACCACGGCGTGGACACAGCCAAGTACTACCGCCAGGCTGAGTTGGAGCTGGAACAGGAGAGGGGTGGTCGGTAAACATTTGATACAAGAGAAGAGAATGGTTTCCTTATAGTGCGGGTGTACATAAGTTCTGATGAACCAGACATCAAGTTTCAGCACACTACTTTTGGCCGTTGAGAACTGTTCCACACAAACACGACTAGTGATATCCGCGCAGTAACACGATATCTCGATACTTTCTATTTCTTTGATACCCCCTTACTCCCATCCTTAGTTTACAGCCAACCCCTTCAGCACATTCTCTTTTCCAAAACGCCGCATCTTGAACTTGCTAATCCAATCATCCCTATTGATGTACGCTCCACAGATCCTGCGCTTCCCTGTGAAGCTACTCCGTCCATGCAGCACCCTCCAGTTGTCAAAGATGAGCACTCTACCCGGCACAAGCTGTTCCCAGTACTCATTCTCCTTCTTCTTGAGTATCGCGTCAAATTTTCGAGCTGCGTCGTACCACGTCTCAACTTCTTCGATAGGAAGCTCAATGGACGCTCTATCTGACGTGTTCCACCGGACGCGGAGCAAGTCGCCTGTAGCAGTGTCGTGCTCGAGGACGGGGAAGCCACGGTAGGGTTGTATTGAAATGCCTTCGTTGCCTGAGGCGTGTCCATGAACATTCACCGTTGAGAGAATCTCATATGCTTTGCGGTCGGTGTGCCAGAGTTCGTCCGCAGCTTTGAAGCCGTCGACAAGAAGACTTGCACCGCCTTCACCGTCGGTGTGGGAAAGGAGGTGGAAAGCCTGTAGGCCGGCTGGATCGGAGAAGTAGGTAGTGTCTGTATGTGCTTCTAGTGCGATGTTGGTGTATGCGGTATCCTTGCTCGCTAGGTCGGCCGTGAAGTCGTAGAAGCCGCCGTAGTGCGTTTCCCTAATAAAGGCAATTTTTTCCAGCATCTTCTTCGTGGCCTTTGGGTTCTCGAAAGACGTCTCATCGACGTAGCAGAATCCGAATCTGCGCAGCCTGGAAAGTAGGTCGTTGCTGTTGGGATTCATCGCGTTAACATACAGAGTCTTTGGTGGGTCCGAAGCGATGGATGAGTCCCAGAGTTTGATTCCGACTAAAGCTTGACGCTGTACAGCCTTCCGCCTCGCGTCGAACATAGCTTGGTAGAGAAAAGACCTCGAGTATTCGCTTTCATGTCCATCACTCCATTCAAGTCTGTGAACCGTCTCAGACCCTCTTGTTTCAGCCGAGTGCGACTTGATCGAGATGTCCTTGGGGATGGAAAATGTATCCAGAAGTCGTTGCTTGGTGGCGTCATGCGTGCAAACTTTGCATTGACAATTGTCCCGCAACCAGATATTTGGTATCAGTCTGTCGGCAAGAAACATCTTCCCGTCTCGCACTTCAGGGCGCGTCTCGGACTCGGCGCGCTTGTTGAACGCATGGGGGATAGCCCCAATTCGCACTTTGTATGGGCTTACTTTCCGGATGATGCGTTGTCGACCGTAGATCTGATCAAGCTCATTGGTAAGTCTCCTAATGTCAGAGTATAGTTGCCTGGCTTTATTCATGTTCTCTAAACCAAGGGAGGCGTCCAGACCAGGTGTATCTGGAGCCCGCTGTTCAACCTTCTCCTGTTGCGGAGCATCTGTTTGTTTCTCATCTTGCGTACTTTGCTCAATGGCCGTATCAACGGCGGATGACGAGTTGAGTCGAATTGACGCCTAGTAGTTGGGTTAGTACTGTAAAAAATGTGGTGTGTTTAGACCAACCTGTAGATATGGTGGGTGAAGCGCGGCACGTCGGGCGAAAGGTGTGGCATGAGCGCACCGGAGTGCTCTTGCCGTAAACATGACACAGATTTGTCAAGCACGAAGTGAATTAATCAGAATCGCTACACACGATGTACCAAATTTAATAGCATGTAGTGCAACAAAAGAATGTGGTGGGTTGATGGTAAGGATATTCGGATGTCAGGAGCTTAGTATGGCAAGAGCGCTCTCTAACCACCGAACGCGACCTCGGATCTTTGCACCACGACTTAAAGATGGGAGGTTCGCTCAGTCATGCGATTAGGCCTATACTAGAATTGGGCTAGCGTTATTTACAGTGCTTGACTATATCGGCATGCCTCACGGTCCGAAGAGCGAATTCTAACAAGGCGGGAACAAAGGCAAAAAGATGCAGAAAGACGCAAAAAGAAGCCGACAGGACAACGGCAAAAGGAACGACACCTGTGGGACTCGAACCCACAATCTTTGCCACCGGAAAGCAACGCCTTACCATTAGGCCAAGGTGCCTGAGAGGAACGGATGAAGAATTCGGAAGCTTGAACATATATCAGGCGGGGGTTTTGCGGCGTTGGCACCAACGAAATGGCAGGAACCTGACAGCCGATCGCAGTTGCTTCCTATTCCCCCCACCAATACGATCACTTCCATCTTCATATAAAACATCTCCAATAGATACCATGAATGTTGCTTAGCAGTCTGAATCGACTCAGTATCACTGTACTCATCAAACGCGTGGAATCTTGCCATACCTGCAGGGCGAGTGTTCGCAAAGCGCCGTTTGCATGGAATTACACACTTCTAAGACTTACGCTTTAGTATCATGCGAGTTCGACCGATCAAGCTGCCATATAGGCAGGATAGCGATTCCTACATTATCGCGCGTTGTTGCGCGCGACGGATCGGCGTTCACGGACGCCAAGACAATCGGAGCTAGGGTCTCTCACCGTGCACTGGTGCGTACCTTCGTAATCCATAGCTGCCTCTACAGCTCCACATCACCGCCGCACCACAACAACCTCTTTGTCGGCGTCATTCACCACCATCACTCTTGCACCGACCCAGTCATCTCTATCACCCCACACTGCGTAACGTCGCTCTCACAACACCGCCACCATGTCCACACTCGAAGATCTCGACGACCTTGAGCGCCACGAGAAGGAAGAGAAGAAGGACGATGACAAGAAAGACGGAGGCAAGGACGGAAAGAAGGCTGATGGTGATGCAGAGATGCAGGATGCGGAACCAGAGGAGGAGCAGCTCGACGAAGAGATCCTCAACTCAAGCACACGAGACATCGTCGCGCGCAAACGGTTACTGGAGAACGACATGCGCATCATGAAGAGCGAGTTCCAACGGCTCACACACGAGAAGGCTTCTATGAACGAGAAGATCAAGGACAACCTAGAGAAGATCGAGAACAATAGGTATGTCATTGACGTGATTGCTGTCACCCCGCAGCGCGCTGGACTGAGGCGACTTTGTGGACAACACACTGACATTCAAAGGCAACTACCATACCTCGTCGGAAACGTTGTCGAGATCCTTGATCTTGACGTCACAGAAGAGGCGGCTGAGGAGGGAGCAAATATTGACCTAGACGCCACCCGCGTTGGCAAGTCAGCGGTCATCAAGACCTCAACTCGGCAAACCATCTTCTTGCCTCTCATCGGTCTAGTAGACCATGAGAAGCTGAAGCCCGGTGATCTCATTGGTGTGAATAAGGACTCATATCTCGTCCTCGATACCCTACCCGCAGAGTACGACAGTCGGGTGAAGGCTATGGAAGTTGACGAGAAGCCAACTGAGAAGTACACCGATGTTGGAGGTCTTGACAAGCAAATTGAAGAGCTCGTCGAGGCTGTAGTATGGCCCATGAAGGAGGCTGAGCGCTTCAAGAAGATTGGCATCAAGGCGCCGAAGGGTAAGCAACTCATGTGGTCATCTCTCAACACGTACTAACGATCACAGGTGCACTGATGTACGGCCCCCCTGGTACTGGAAAGACCCTCCTCGCCCGAGCCTGCGCTGCCCAAACCGACGCCACATTCCTCAAGCTCGCCGGCCCACAGCTCGTACAAATGTTCATTGGAGATGGTGCGAAGTTGGTCCGCGACTGCTTCGCCCTGGCGAAAGAGAAGGCACCCTCAATTATCTTCATCGACGAATTGGATGCCGTTGGCACCAAGCGTTTCGATTCCGAGAAGTCCGGAGACAGGGAGGTGCAGCGAACTATGTTGGAGCTGCTGAACCAGTTGGACGGTTTCGCCTCCGATGACCGTGTCAAGGTACTTGCCGCGACGAACCGAGTCGATGTCTTGGACCCCGCTCTGCTTCGTTCTGGTCGTCTGGACAGGAAGATCGAGTTCCCGCTACCAAACGAGGAGGCCCGCGCACAGATTATGCGTATCCATTCGCGGAAGATGACTGTTGACGACGCTGTCAACTGGCAAGAGTTGGCTCGCAGCACTGACGAGTTCGGTGGTGCGCAGTTGAAGGCTGTGTGTGTCGAGGCTGGTATGATTGCTCTCCGGACCGGTCACCAGAAGATCAGCCACGAGCACTACGTCGATGCTATCGCTGAGGTACAGGCAAAGAAGAAGGACACAGTCAACTTCTACGCCTAAGGTGTAGTTTGGTGGTGGTGTAGCCGCTGCATGCGTGCACCCTCATGCCGGGCTTGTAATAATACTTAAACCTTCAGCATAGTACCATAGCGGAATTGACGATTATGAACAACAAGGGTTGGGTTTCAGTTATTTGTTGTGAGTTGATTTGAATATAGCGTGAACAGCACATGGCGTTGAGATAACCAGACATCCTACAGTACGTTTACCCCAACCTTGGAATACTGATGTAGATGATGGTTAAGGGTCTTGAAAATGACCAGTCTGAGGGTTCGAGTCCCACCACGATACCGATAGCAAAGACTTGCAGAATTTCGATACACTTGCATCTCGCACAACACAACTCTTGAAAGCCGTCACCAACGTGGCGATATGTAAGTTTTAGGACGAAATAAAGATGGCATCGTTACGACGGTATCGAATATCGTACGGAGAATATCTCTCACAATGCTGACATTCGCTCTCCATCCTAAAATCACGTTTTATACTGGTGAGCGGCAGTGCTGATCAAAGACTTCGGCTGAACATAGAACCAGTGGCACATGGAGGTCAGCCGATACATCCACCAACCGGCGGCGCAAGAGTTGCTAAGCAACGCGCACGGAAGAAGAACAAGCTCAGCGATAGCGAGTTGGCTATGACGTTCAGGCGTATTGAAGAGACACTGCGCCAATACAACAATTCTATGAGCATACCAGGTGGTATAGCCGCGCCCCAAGTCTCACGCATAGCGAAGAAGAAAATGAGCGTTCAAGTTAGAATCTGGCCTAGTCTTAGTTCAGAATGGTCATTGAAGATGTACTTTGGTATACAAGATGATTACAATACCTTCGAGGTGGTTCGCCGGAGAGTCTGGTGCGTCCTCACGTCTCAAACCCAGCCAAGCCGCCCGCGCAAGGCTGGCAGCTGCCGACATCGTCCGGGATCATCACTTGCACCCGACGACTCAAAGTGACTTGCATGTAGGAAACAACGCCGAGCCAGAGTCGCGCTCCTTCCATGCGTTCGACGTCCCTGCATTCTGGCACGCCCTCCCTCTTCCCCTCTGATTGGCCGCCGACCCCACCAACCGCAACCTCAACCATCCCCGTCTCAACACCAACATGCCAGGCACGCCTCACCCACGCGCAACAACACCACCACCCGATAGGTCGACTGACGTCTTTGTTCCCTCTCTAGACTCTTGCTATTCAAGATCTGGAGATACTTTCGGTTCTATTAGGACCCTGCATAGCCGCCTCTAGCGGTGGTGCGGTAGTCTACTCAGGGCAGTTCCGTAATGCTGATAGTAAGGAAGGTAGGTTACTTTAGTAGGCTGTCTGGGCGCTGTTTGAGCGATCTTCAGAACATGTGGTGAGGGCTATTGGCTCGTAGGTGACGCGAGACACGAGGACGAAGCCGTACGCCAGGCTGCGCAGCGGGGTGACCTTGTCTATTGGGGCATGCGGGTATGTATGATGACCGAACCGAAGTCGGAATGATGCTTGGGGGACTCGGAATGAGGGCTCATATAACCCCTCCATGGTGTTTGTGGGGTTTCTTTTGTTTTGTTGTCGTTCCCCCCTCTCCTCTCTTGATCATTGCTTCTACTGTCTTGTTGTGAAGTCGCAGCTATGCAGGCTCTCTCAAGTTTTGTTCCAAGTGACCCGTTTCACCAACTTACGGTTACGCTGTGCCTCGTTGGTGTTTTCCTTACGGTGGTCTTTGCTCTAGCGTTCAGACCGAAGAGCAAAGATCAGGCGCCTAGCACATTCGAAGCATACCTCAAGTTCATCTATGGGTGTTTCTTGAAGCCTCATACTGGAGACGGATCTGGAAGTCAGCAAGATGCTTTGGTGCGTTTGAAGAAGGGACAAAACTCGGGACTCGTCTAATCAAATGAACAGGAAAGTTTCTACAAAGCTCAAGCGGATGTCTACGACGCTACCCGGCTCAAGCTTCTTCGAGGTCGTGAGGATATGCTGGGACTGGTCGCTGCGCAGCTGAAGCACCGTACCGAAGCGGGTTTGATCTCGCAACGACCAGTC